CTGACTTAACCAAACCTAACCCAAAGTCACACGGCTACACCATCTACGTATGGAAATTCCGAGTCCAGGATTCGTTGGGATTCGTTTGGCCCGAAATATCTTCTTGTAAATCCCATAGTTTCTGGCACCAATTTCTTCGCCATCTTTTATACTTGTAACTTACGTACGCCAATTAAATGCGTTCCCTCAAATTCAGTTAACTCGCGTGAGCCAATCAGAGGTGTTCTCAAAAATCTAGTAACTGCATAAGCCAACCAGAGGCGTTCTCATAAATGTAGTTAACTTGTATGGGTCAATGAGAGGCGTTTTCACATATCCAGTTAACTTACATGAGCCAATCAGAGGCGTTCTCACAAATGTAGTTAACTTGTTTGGGTCAATCAGTGGCATTCTCACAAAATCAGTTAAATTTCATGAGCCAATCAGAGGCGTTCTCACAAATCTAGTTAACTTGCATGGGCCAATCAGAGGCGTTCTCACAAATCCAGTTTACTCATGTGAGCCAATCAGAGGCATTCTAAACAATTCAGTTAACTCGCGTGAGCCAATCAGAGGCGTTCTCACAAATTCCGTTAAATTTCATGAGCCAATTAAAGGCATTCTCACAAATTCAGTTAAATTTCATGAGCCAATCAAAGGCGTTCTCACAAATTCAGTTAACTTGCTTCAGCCAATCAGACGCGTTCTCACTAATCCAGTTAATGTAAAGTCAAAATTCAAACTTTACTGAAGAAAAACAAAAGGAAAAAGATCGCGTAAACTTTTGATTAGTTAGGAAGCAATTAACGGATGAATCTCTTACACAGTAAAACAATTGATGCATTTTTTATCTTCAAGAAGGAAAATTAACCTACGAACATTTCTAATAGGGAAAAAACTTACACAGTCTTTTCTAACTGGAAATATACCTACGAAACTTTCTAACGGGGAAAATTTACCTATATCCCTTTCTTACAGGGAGAATATAACTACGACCCAATCTGACAGGAAATATTACCCAACGATCTATGCAGAAAAGGAATATCTGCCAGAGGATCTTCAAGAGGACATGGTGTTGTATAATGCGTCTTGTTTACCAGGAGGAGGAAGAGGAGGAGGGGGGGTGGAAAATGAAGAGGAAGAAGAGGAGGATGAAGAGGAGGAGGGGGGTGGAAAATGAAGAAAGAAGAAGAAAAGGAAGAGGAGGAGGGTGAAATATAAAGAAAAGGATGAGAAAAAGGAAAAGTGTGTGTGTGCTCGACGAGATCTTGAGCATATACCAACTACTTTCCCCGGCCCTGTTAATCTCCCTAAGTAGTCGTTCCAGTCCCTCCCACGCCCTACCCACACGTTCCAGTCTCTCCCGCCCCTACCCACACGTTCAGTCTCCCACGCCCTCCACAGCCCCTACCACCGTTCCCAGTCTCTCCCGCCCCTACCCACACGTTCCAGTCTCTCCCACGCCCCTACCCACACGTTCCAGCCTCCCACGCCCCTACTCACACGTTCCAGCCTACCCACGTTCCAGTCTCTCCCACGCCCCTACCCACACAGTCCCTCACGCCCCTACCTACACGTTCCAGCCTCCCACTCCCTATCCACGTTCCAGTCTCTCCCACGCCCTACCCACACGTTCCAGTCTCTCCCACGCCCTACCTACACGTTCCAGCCTCTCCCACGCCCCTACCTACACGTTCCAGCCCTCCCTCCCACCTCCCCCTACCCACACAGTTCCAGTCTCTCCCACGCCCCTACCCACGTTCAGTCTCTCCCACGTCTCTCACGCCCCTACCACACGTTCCAGCCTCTCCCACGCCCCTACCCACCCACGTTCCAGTCTCTCCCACGCCCTACCCACACGTTCCAGTCTCTCCACGCCCCTACCCACGTTCCAGCCCCTACCCACACGTTCCAGTCCTCCACGCTCTACCCACACGTTCCAGTCCTCCCGCCCTACACACGTTCCAGTCTCCAGCACCCCAGTCTCTCCTCATCTCTCTCTCTCTCTCTCTCGTCACTAGATGCTCTTCTACCTAATCCATCCTTACTTGTGTCTGTCCTCCACACTACCACGGCCTACCTCTCCTCCACAGCACCACTGCCTCCTTCTCCTCCCACTGCCACTCCCTCCCTCTCCCTCCACACTGCCACTCCCTCCCTTTCCTCCACAGCACCACTGCCTCCTTCTCCTCCACACTGCCTCCTTCTCCTCACACTGCTACTCCCTACCTCTCCTCCACACTGCCACTCCTTCCTCTCCTCCACACTGCCATTCCTACCCTCTCCTCCCACTGCCACCCACCCCTCTCCTTCACACTGCCACTCCCCTCCCTGCACTCCTCTCCCTCTCCTCCACACTGCCACTCCCCTCTCCTCCCACACTGCCACCACCTGCCACTTCTCCTCCACACTGCCCTCCTGCCCTCTCCTCCACACTGCCACTCCCTCCTCTCCTCCCTGCCACTCCCTCCCTCTCCTCCACTCCACTCTCCCTCTCCTCCACACTGCCCTCCCACTCCCTCTCCCTACTGCCATTCCTACCCCTCCCTCCACACTGCCCCTCCTCCCTCCCCACCCCCACCCTCTCCTGCCCCCTCCCTCCTCCTCTCCCTCCCTCTCCCTCCACCTGCCACTCCCTCCCTCTCCCTCCACCCTCCCTCCCCTCCTCCACACTGCCACTCCCTCCTCCCTCCCCTCTGCCCTCCCTCCCACTCCACTCTCCTCCCTGCCCTCCCTCCCCTCTCCTCCACTGCCTGCCACTCCCTCCTCTCCTCCACCACCCCTCCCTCTCCTCCACACTGCCACTCCCTCCTTCTCCTCCACACTGCCACTCCCTCCCTCTCCTCCACACTGCCACTCCCTCCCTCTCCTCCACACTGCCACTCCCTCCCTCTCCTCCACACTGCCACTCCCTCTCATACCAGCCTCGTGTAAACAGACACAACTAAAACACTGCCAGTTATTGTAAGGTGACACATACCATATTACCTGTAATTAGATAAGCATTTCTAATATGACACATGTATTGACAGACGAGATATTAACCTCATTAATCAATAGGTAGACCCTTCCTGGCAAATAAATATGGAGTGAGATAACTAGTCCCTATTTTTTGTGAACGGACGAAAATTCACTGTACTTACCAATGAAACACCTAAATGCAAAAAGTTAGGTTAGGTTTAGGTTAGGTTAGGTTAGGTTCAATGAGTTTTTGTCCTTCTCTCCCCTATGTCAACACCCCCGTACTCATGCCTCAGTATGTGCCCCGTAAATATAAACTTGGCTCACATACGATACTCATTGGGCAGTTTAATGGCAAGCGTCTGAGAATCAAAAAACCCTAATCAGCAACATAAAAGATCTGACCATTCACCCGGTGACCCACGAACCTGACCCATGACACTACTCTAGGTTGTTGTATCGGCACTGATGACTCTCACCCTTCTCTGTGTACGGTGCCAGCTGTTAGGTTGACTCTTAATCACGCTGTCAGGTGAGGTAGGTGTGTTGCGTTGGTCTCTGATGACAACACAGTAAAGAAGGCGTCGTTAATAGTGTCTAGACTTGTGCTAAGAGACGTTAATATTGTGTCTCTGTGTATGGGAGACTGTCAGATCTACCACGTGGCAGCTGCCCCATGGTAGGGAAGGGAAGGAAAGAGAGACAGTGTTAATCACACCAGCGTGTAGGTGTGAGCTCATTCACATCTTCTACATATCCTCGGCGCCATAACACACTCTCCCTCCCGGAACCCAAATTCAATTACCAGGTATTGTCGCCCTGAACCCCTTCCTGAATTACGAATCCGAGTCCTCCTAGCCCCCCCCCCCCACTATAATTAGAAACTGTAGACTGGTTTAAGTGTAAGAAATGATAGTGACTGGTAGTAGAGTGGAGGGTAGGGGAGAATCACATTAGCCATAAAGTTGGACACCATTACTTGGGATCTATAAGGTTCACAGGTCAAGTTTTCCTCCGGAGTGAAGATGTAAGCAGGTTCCTAACTATCTCATCTTCAGCTACACAACACAGAGGTATATAATTCAAGGTTCATACGCTAAATGCCTCACTTACCTGGAGATATGAGTCCGACAATTAATTAGCTCAGGTAAGTTAATAGAGAAAGATGGAGTCTCAAAGGTAAACACAATATCTTCCTCGTAGACCCAACACACTCTCCCAGCCTCTACACCGGTTATTCATCTCGACAGTACAGAAATATAGTACACGCAGCGAGAACAACACAAAGATGTAAAATAAATAGTTAACCGGTGTAACTAGGCCATTAAACAGGTGGAACAAGAACAAGACAGGTGTAACAAAAACATGATAGGTGTAACAAGAACAAGACTGGTGTAACAAGAACAAGACAGGTGTAAAAAGAAAATAACAGGTGTAACAAGAATATGACAGGTATAACAAGAACAAGACAGGTGTAACAAGAACATGACAGTTGTAACAAGAACCTGACAGGTGTAACAAGAATATGACAGGTGTAACAAGAACAAGACTGGTGTAACAAGAGCAAGACAGGTGTAACAAGAACATGACAGTTGTAACAAGAACCTGACAGGTGTAACAAGAATATGACAGGTGTAACAAGAACAAGACTGGTGTAACAAGAGCAAGACAGGTGTAACAAGAACAAAACAGGTGTAACAAGAACATGATAGGTGTAACAAGAACAAGACTGGTGTAACAAGAGCAAGACAGGTGTAACAAGAACAAAACAGGTGTAACAAGAACATGACAGGTGTAACAAGAGCAAGACAGGTGTAACAAGAACAAGACTGGTTTAACAAGAACAAGACAGGTGTAACAAGAACATGACAGTTGTAACAAGAACCTGACAGGTGTAACAAGAATATGACAGGTGTAACAAGAACAAGACAGGTGTAACAAAAACATGATAAGTGTAACAAGAACATGGCAAGTGTAACAAGAATATGACAGGTAACAAGAACATGACAGGTGTAACAAGAACATGATAGGTGTAACAAGAACATGACAGGTGAACTCACTCTCAGCAGTAAGCTTGTTGCCCATACAGATGATCTTAAGCTCGACACGGCCCCTCCTCTCAGTGTGGTCACAGCCGCACAAGTTGGGTACACTCTCAGTACATCGCTTGTGGACGTTCATGTTACATGCTGGGGAGGAGAATGAGAGTATAATTAGTATTCAGTACACAGTATTGGTTATTATCAATACACACACACACACACACACACACACACACACACACACACACACACACACTACAACGTATCAGCGCACATGACACACACACACACACACACACCGAGGGCGAGTCAATACAGGATGGCATTGTGTGGTGGGGTATATATGGTACAGGTATTTATATGTAAGAGTGTGTATGTTTTAATATATGTAGGAGGATTAATTCCAGGTGGTCAGGTGTGTGTGTGTGTGTGTGTGTGTGTGTGTGTGTGTGTGCTGGGAAGACAAGAAAACAAATGCCAGTATTCTCGCTGACACCAACTGTAGGAGCATAGAGGCTACCAATATCCGCGAACAACTACGTTGGACTGGCGTAACGCATGGGGGGGCACCATACGAGGTGTCAATACTTTAGAGTTAGCCCGACTGCACAACGAGGAAGACAAGCGCCAACGCCGGAAAGCCGCTGCCACCGCCCCTCCCGCACTAGATGTAGCCCTCCACTTGTGCAATATCTGTGAACAACTCTGCTGGTCCCGTATCGGCCTCTTTAATCACCTCAAAACTCCCCAACGAAGGTGACATCCTTAATAACTCATACCATTGTATCATAGCTGGATGATCGTCATACTTGATTCCGAGTGACAACACAGTAGTACCAAGTGTGTGTGTGTGTGTGTGTGTGTGTGTGTGTGTGTGTGTAATCATTAGCAACTTGAATCCGTCTCTTGGGGATTTTTGTACATTATTTTTACCCCTCAATTTCCGAAAATCCACTTTATTTAAACTGGTGTATTAAAATTTCCCTTTTAAACCCAATTTAATTTTATTTAGTAATATTTACTATTTAATATTATCGGCTTTTATTGGTAATATTCCTTAGTTATTATCCATTTTCTCTTTTATCACCTCTGTTCCCCTCATTCCATCTTTATTAACCCTTATCAACGTGCCTTATTTCCTCTCCCTCACTCCCTAGTTCTTGTACACCCCTTAAACTACCCATCACTCCTCTTGTCTCCCCTTATTCCCTCCCCTCTCCCCCTCGCTTAGTTTCTGCTGCTCCCTCTCCTCTCCTTCCTTCTCATTATTTTCCCCTCTCCCCTAACCACCTCATTCTCTCCCTCTCACCATCCTGTCCTCTCTTATCTCCCCTTCCTCGAATTTCTTCCACTTCTCTTCCTACTCCTTCTCAACCACTCTCACCTTTCCCCTTCCTCTCCTCAACCACCCACCTCCCTTCCTCCTCCAACCATCCCCATTCCCCTATTCTCCCATACCACGCTTCCTCCTTCTCATCTTCTCCTCCCCAACCATCACTCCCCTTCTCCTCCCCTCACTAGACTAACTATCTCCCCTCCTAATTATCCTTATCTCCCCCTCTTTCCCCCTCCCAACATTATCGTTCCCATTTCCTCCCCCTCCTCGCCTTCTCTCTTTCTCCTCACCTCCCCCTCCACCTCACCTCATCTTCCTCCCCTCCTCACCACCCTCCCCACCTCCTCACCCTCCACCCCCACCTCCCACCTCACCTCACCACCCTCCCCTCCCCACTACCTTCACGAGCTAATATGAACATTCATCTCCCGGTCTTTTGAAGGCGTAGAGGAAACTGCTGTAAAACCTTGATTGCGGAAGATGTGTGAATACCAGGCAACGAGCTGCTGGCCTCGGCTGACGTCACCAAGGAGGAGGAGGAAGGGAGGAAATGAAGAGAAGGGGAGGTCATGAGGGGAAGGGTGGGTCAGAGGGGAGGTTATGAGGGGAGGTTATGAGGGGAAAGGTGGAGGTTATGAGGGGTCAGAGGAGGTTATGAGGGAGGGTCAGAGGAGGTTATGAGGGAAGGAGGGAGGAGGGTCAGAGGGAGGTTATGAGGAAGGGTGGGTCAGAGGAGGTTATGAGGAGGGTGGGTCAGAGGGGAGGTTATTGGGGAGGAGAGTTATGAGGAAGGGAGGGTCAGAGGGGAGGTTATGAGAAGGGTCAGAGGGAGGTTATGGGTCAGAGGGTGGGTCAGAGGGGAGGTTATGAGGGGAAGGGTGGGTCAGAGGGGAGGTTATGAGGGGAAGGGTGGGTCAGAGGGGAGGTTATGAGGGGAAGGGAGGATTAGAAGAGAGGGAAGGTAGAGGAAAGGAGAAGGGGAGGATCAGAAGGAAGGAGAGAAAGGCAATGAAGGGAGGAAATACGGGGAAGAAAGGGTCAAAAAAAGAAAAAAAGAGGAGGAAGAAGGAAAAAAAAGGGGGGGGGGAGAACGTAAACAAGGCGGTAATAACAATCACTCACAAAAGACAACCTAACCTAACCTAACCTAACCTAACCTAACCTAACCTAACCTAACCTAACCTACCAAATGGTGTTACCTGAGTCAATGTTACCTGAATTTATCCAATCCTAATAAACAACAAAAAGATATTAATATAAATGACACCCATTAGCACGTTAATTGGGTCATTATCTAAGGTAATGAAGTAATGTGATGATCTAATTAATAGTGGTTATAACTCAGGGGTCAATTTCTACCAGGCACCATTTTTTTTTCCAAGGATAATTTGGTTATAATTTTGTTAATTTAGGATGGTGATAATTGTCTGGGTTATACTTTCCCAGTTAGTTTCACCGTGAGACTACATCAGTAATGTCACCAGTATAATCACCGATATTGCCTTCAGTAAAATAATTAATAGCACCAGTCCAATCACCAGTACCAGCCTCATTCAGTATAATCACCAAGACCACTATTGCACTCACTTTTACAATCACAAACTTAATCACCAACAACCACCACCACTACTACAATCACTACCACCAACATAATCACCAATACATCACCATTACTACAACTACCACCACTACTACAACCACCACCACTACTACAACCACCACCACTACTACAATCACTACCACCACCACTAACTACTACAGCAACTACCACCACTACTACAACAACCACCACCACCACTACAATCCCCACTAACAGCACCACAATTACCAATACAGTCACATCATCGCACCCTCCCACATTACACTCGTCACCAGTTAGTGTCTTGTGGCCTAGAGTCTCCCACTCCCATGATCCAACACTCCCAGGTCTTATTGTGTGTATAACGGCAGACTATCCTTAATACAACACCTATAATGGTTTACTATTATTCGTACTGAAATTCATCTAACTATCCAAATCAAGACCAAAAAAAAAAAAATGTCACCTGGTCTTCATAATGGCGACTTGTTTTTTTGTTAATTTTTTTTAAAGGTAAGTATCGCTTTAGTACAACAACTAATACGGGTAATTTATACATTAATGATCCCTTCTACAGGTAACATCCCCATCAATCATGTAAACAAACTCCAGACCGTCAACTAAGTTAAGTAGGTGTTTCCTGTGACGCCGTAGTGCTGTGATCTGGTCAATTTATTTCATGTGTGGATTACTTCTTTAATTTCTCGATTTAGATTTACACTTGGAGTATACTTCAAAAGATTTACACCAAAATTTAGTTTATTTTCCTCGGTACAACGTCGCCATGATCATCAGTCAGGGGTGATGTCTCCCGCTGGTGCCGCCCATCTGATGGCGAGTGTAAGAGTAGAGTGGTCTCAGTACACGCCTCCAGGATGACTGATGGGGGTTCAACTTGAAACAACACTTTGCTACATAAAACACCCTCGTGGGGGGTGGGGGGAGAAGATCAAAGGTCACACATCCACCAGACCGTTACTACCATCACCAGCTTCAAACACCGCCACATCATCGTCTCCTGGGTCGAGCTTCTTAAAGGCGCGTGTGGTGAATTTTCCTCGTTGCCTTGAGAAGTTAGACCGTGCAGTACCTAAGTGGCCGATTTAACCTTAGGATAGAAATAACGTCCAACACAGCGTCCAAATTAAACGTCGAGTATCTTATCTAGTTGAGTAACAAATTTCACGTATATAATAATTAATACTCTGGATAACTACGGTACTTAAAGTGATAAATAAAACTAAAACATAACCCTCATTAAAACTGGACTTATATCGCTATTTCCGGAGTCATAATTCAGACACGTTATGTACTATACTGTACTGGGGTGTCCTGGGGTAGCTCTATCACCGGCCAGTAACGGGTACACAGGCCTGCTGAATATATACAATTTCTACTAGCACATCAGGCTAGTAACTTCTCAACTCCACTAGCTTACACAAATGTTTATCAGGCCTAAATATTTTCCAAATTATGAGAATATCCTGTATGTAACATTCGAAGTGATTGAATGAAAGTTAAGTTTAAAACACCAATAAATGACTGAAGGAATTTACTGGAACTGGAAATAACAAATGTAATTAGTAAAACGAACGGAACAAATGTTGTTACACAAAATGGCTACAGGTAGCTGGAAAAAAAGGTACACACTCATAATTATTAATAATAATAAGAGCGGTTATAAATGCAATTGTGTACCAGATATTTTTTAATTGAAAAATTTTATATTTCTTTTTTGCATACGACCATTTTTTTTTCTTCACAGTTAAAAAAAATGTTAGACACTTTCACTTTTGCATGCGGCAAAATTACCACGCGCCCGACGGGCTAGTAAATATAAAATTTAACTCACCGCGGGAGAGAGAGTTTCCGACGCCCTGGTGTACATGTACAGTAGTTCGTATATATTCCCCCACATAATTTTTTCACTAAGTAGGAAGGGACCGAGGCAGGGAGGAGAGGCGTCAGGGTGGCACCACCAGTATTATTGCGGTAAAGTACATTTGACGTCATAAGTTATATTTGTGATGCCGTATTCACTTACCAAGAGTTATCTATTATAAAATGATGAAAAACAGATCAAATACATGCACAAAGATGTAGCGTATTGTTGCCATACTTAAACAAATTAAAAAGATTATCTTGCATACCCTGGAGGACAACCTTCTCCACAAACTTAAAAAGTTCATCACTGGAAATGAATCACCAGCTCTGAGAACCAACGACAGGCAG